ATGTCTATCTGTCTGTTTGTCTGTCTGACTCTCTCTCTCTCTCTCCTGCCATGTCTGTCTATCTTTAACTTCTATCATGTCTCTCTCTCTTCTATCTCTTCTAATATGTCTGTCTCTCTGTCTCTCTCTCTCTCTTCTGTCATGTCTATCATTAACTTCTATCCTCTCTCTCTCTCTTCTATATCTTCTAATATGTCTGTCTGCCTGTCTGTCTCTCTCTCTATCTCTTCTGCCATCTCTGTCTATCTTTAACTTCTATCATGTCTGTCTGCGTATCTATTCATCCACCCGTCCCTTATCTTTATCATTCTCTCTCTCTCTGTCTCTCCCGTTCTCTTTCTATCTGCATGTATCATAAATACCTGCTGCTTGCCAATCACCCAAATTTTAATCACATGACTGTGAGGATGCCGCAATGGTCATAAAAGTGAGGACTGCTCAAAAGTCATTTTTTTTCAATGCCATCATACCTTCGAATGCTCTCTAAAAGAGTAATTTTAAGTTGAGGACTAGATGAAGTTATTTTTTGACTATTTTCAGCAAGAAGTCCATAAAGGATTTTCAGACTTTTGTCGAGGTATTACGATTTGAGAAAAGTATTAAGGCGTATTATACCAATCCTCACACGCACAATGGTTACAGCATGGGATCAAAATTTGGGCCCTTGGCAACCAACAGGCATTTACAATGACTGCAGAAATCCAGAATCATGTGAATGCTATCTGTGATTTTCCTTTCCAGCTTCCAACAAGCAAAGTCAATGGGGGAAACTTGGATTAATTTAACATTAAAAGGTTCTAAAATTGGATCCAACTCTCTTAACAACCACTTTGCTTATCGACGGAAATTCTGGCCCCAATTCTGGTCATAAATTGAGGAAGTCTTCCATCTTAGGTGCATTTAATAGTCTTGCTGCAGTTACCATAGATGAAACCTACGTTATACAGGCAGTCCTCAACTTACAACAGTTCATTTAGTGAACATTCGTGGTTGAGACAGCACTGAAAAGAGTGACCTTTTTTGAAACTTACGACAGTTGCAGTATCCTGATGGCGGTGTAATAAAAAAAAACCAAACACTTGGCAACTGGTTCATGTTTACGACGGTCGTAGTGTCCCGGGGTCACATGATCCCCTTTTGCAACCTTCTGACAAAGTCAATGGGGGAAGCCAGATTCACTTAACAACCATGTTACTAACTTAACAACTGCAGTGATTCACATAACAATTGTTCCCAGTTACTCAACTGTTATTTGTCAACAAAAGAAGACCCAGCCAATCAGGAGGAAGCAAATAGATGGGGGCGGGGCCAGTCAGAGGTGGTATTTGCAGGTTCTCCGAACTACTCAAAATTTCCGCTACCGGTTCTCCAGAACTGGTCAGAACCTGCTGAATACCCACCTCTGATCCAACCCTTGTAAAATTTAGCAGGTGAAAAGATTCCTGTTTTGTTTTGATATAAGGTCTGTAATTGTGCCTGTCTTTCAAGTGGGAAGGCCACCAATGGGACTTGCCTTTTTTCTTCTAAGAAAACTAAAGAGTAATAAATTACCGGGAAATGATTGTCCTAGTATTTGCATGACATTATTATAAAACGCAGAATTGGCAAATTAAGAACTCGGACCATCCAATGCCCACTGATAAATTCCTTAGAGTACTTTTTCCAGCCTTTGCTTTCTTGCAGAGAATATTTTTTTTTAAATATATCTATTGTTGCTCGCTGGCGGTTCCTCTTTTGACTTTTCAAAAGGAGAAACTACTAAGTGTCTCTAAGTTTTCAAGTTCTTTGCTACCAAGGTCACCTCCCACGTCTCTCCGGTGTTCAAGTCTGTATTTTTAGAAACCTTGACATCCTCAAAACCATTCTGTCCCACATTCATTAGAGCTACCCTCGCAACCCCAAAACGCATTAAGAATGCTGAAATGTCAAGAGTTTGTTGCAGCAATCACATCCAGAAAGCACACACAGGTAACTGATTCAGCAGGATTCATTAACTTCCCTTTATATATGATATAACACATGAAATAAATGTACAATACTAAATGCAGATCCTTCCAACATGGTAGAGAGATTGTAAGTAGGTACAAACACAGGCAGAGGAGAAGAGTTTCAGTTTCAATTTAGAGCACCAGACTAGTTTTGAGCTCAGCATAGACTCAGAGCTTCAGTACAGAACAGTTGAGCTAAGCCACGCCCAGGCTCCTTGCTGTCTCCTTGTTGCTNAAGGAAAAGGAAGATGGAAGGGAAGGGAAGATGGAAGAGAACGGAAGAACATACTGTCCAAGTGTGATTGGACACAAGGAATTTTTCTCCAGTGCGTAAGCTCTCGTTATACATACAAGCAACAAAGGGATAAACCATAAACTGTAAGATACACCAGCAACTTTTTTTCACATAACTTTATTTCCAGTCAGGTTCGCTTCCACACAAACAAGACTCTCATAACTCCATTCCTCTCTTGTTTATGCGTGACCCCATAATACCCTCTTAAAATCCACGCAAAAGTGTCGTATTTCTATCTGCCTCCATTGCAGTCCTTTTGGAAAGGGCACATAATATATAGGAAGGAGATTCTTTTGAAATGCAAAATTACAATATTATTTCCGTCTCCAAAACATTCATTTTTTGAGTGAAAGGAAAGGCATGTTTATGCAATTCGAAGTCATCTTGTTGCAACATGTGGAAAAATCTGAATATCTGTGCATAATTAGAGGCACTTCTCTACTTGTGGCTTAGCAACTATTTGAAGTTACAATGGACCTCTCCAGAATTAATGGCTTGGTTTCAATATTATGATGACTGCTCCCCCCCCCATGATCATGTGATTTCATTTGGCAATTACCCTACATTTATGGCTGCACTATCCCACAGTTACAACTGTGATATATAACTTTTTGTGTGTGTGTGCTAACAAAGGAAAATATTTGTTGCCAGGATTGAAATGAGGGGTCCTTAGTGCTCTCTGAGCTTCATTATCTAATTTGGGTAATGAAACATCTGCAAGAAAACAAGCAAGCTCATACAGCACCAAAAACCTCTCAATTCTTTTTTTCTGGAAATCCGTGGTTTAGTTTTGGTTTCTGGCAAAAAAAAATTGCCCTTGGCTAAAATGGGTTGTCTTAACGGCTGCAGCATTTGCTTCATGACACAGGGTTCGCTTAACAATTTCAGCATCCACTTAAGAAACTCCACATAAAAGGTAGTTAATATCAGGCATGGTCACACACAGTGACCAGCTTAACAACCAGCACAACTTACAATCACATAATTCCAGGCTCAATTATGGTCATAAGTTAAGGGCTTCTGGTAGCTGCTTTGCATAATAGTTAAGGAGCTGAAGACAAGGTACTTTACTACCTCAATTAATAACCACAACTGAGCCAAAATCTTCTGTTGCTAGATTGGATGGATGGATGGATGGATGGATGGATGGATGGATATGGACAGCTGGATAGACAGACAGACAAACGGACAGACAGATGGTAGAGATAGACAGACAAACGGATGGACAGATGGACAGATGATAGAGATAGATAGGTAGATAGATAGATAGGTAGATAGATAGATAGATAGATAGATAGATAGATAGATAGATAGATAGATAGATAGATAGATAGATAGATAGATAGATAGACAGACAGACAGACAAGCAGACAGGCAGACAGGCTAGATAGCTAGATGGAGGGAGGAGGGAGGGAAGGATGGATGGACGGGTAGACAGGCAGACAGATGATAGAGATAAATAGACTGGATGGATGGATGGACGGACAGATGATATAAATAGCAGTTAGCAATAGCAATAGCCGTTAGACTTATATGCCGCTTCATAGGGCTTTCAGGCCTCTCTAAGCGGTTTACAGAGTCAGCATATC